AAATGCAAAGCTGCACAGTGTGCCCTTTGTGTATGGAAACAAGAGTGGAGTGCTGAATTATCTCCCTTGATAAAAGACATGCAGACCTATTTCTATCCCATTCATTAGTGTGGACATGCCAAAGACTGAGTCAACGGTCTACACCCAGGCTACAGCTTAGACATTCCTTACCTGTGAATGTTTTTACATGCAAGCAGAGGAAATTAATTTTGTTAAGAGCTGCATTAGTGGGACAATAACAAATTCTGTCTGTGCATGTTAAGTTTTCATTTGTTACACTGAATGTCTACATATGTTGGGACAGTCAATTCACACTTGTAGTCTTTGGCACAGTGACAGTTGGTTTAAGTTATGATGCTCTCCAGTTTTTGGAACTGTGTATTCGACATAGGCAATTCTTTATATTGCAAGGTCAGACTACATCTCAAGTAATATCACTTTCTTTCCCCATGAAATCACATCTCACAAACAAGCTATCTCATTCCTCGCTTTTATCTGCACCCAGCACACCAGACCTGCCTCTGATTAGATCCATCTCTGCACAGCTGTGTGTCTGAACTTGTGTCAGCAGGATATAGTCAAAACATGTGGCAAGCTGCATCTTATCTGGGATGGGAGTATTGATGCCACAGAAATCAAGCACAGACACACAAGCTCGGAGGAAAAGCTGCCATTTGGTGTCAGGGTCAGTTATTCTGATACAAAAAAAAAAACTGACTATGGTAAATTGTCAAGTGTCTCATTCTCTTTCAAGGATGCAGTGGACAAGTGTGTCCTTAGCAGCGGCTGTGCTTAAGTGTCCGTGAATCCAATACTTAATCCCTACTGGCTCCATGTCTGCAGCTCAGTTGCTGACCCTGACCTCTGAGCTCCCAGTGAAGGGGGCTCAAAAAAAAACAACATTTTCCTCCAGGACAGACCATGAAACGTGGTACATTTTGCGCACACTCTTTTTCCTCCTATACTAAACAGTTTAAATTGTCTGCAGATGCATGAGTTGGGTCTGTGTGTGCAGTGTGTGTCCTTACCTTCTTGGACACGTGGAAGGTTGGTCTGATCAATTTCCAGCTCGGCCATCATTGTCAGTCCCTGGTCTGTCACTTCCTCATGACCCTGACACCAGCAAGGGGATATTTGGAGTTATTATCTCTCTAAATGAAATGCCCAAGCTACACGGACATACAATTAGATAACATTAGTGTCTTTCAGTTAAACATATAACTGGTTTATCTCGACACGTTCCTGCAAAAACTCAACCTATTAAACACAAACTCTCCAGACTAGCAGTGCTGCTGTGAACATGACCTAGAGCCTATATGGTTACACAGTACCTGTAATTGCAGTTGGCCACTTGTTTAACGAGCAAACAAACATTCAGTCAGTCCAAAGAGCCATATTGTTTTATAACCTACCTGTTCGCAGCACGCTGCCCACACAGGCTCCAGTGTTGTGTATGTACACACAGCCTGTTCAACAAGTACCAAACATGACAGCGTCAACTTTAGAGTCGTCTGCTCCGTCCCACTTTCCCCTCTCTCCTCTCCCTCCCTCCCTCCCTCCCTTCCTCTCTCTCTCTCTCTCTCTTTTTCCCCGACTGTCTCTCCAAATGATACAAAATGTCACGAACGTGCTTGACCGTCTTCTAACGCCTCTTTCTTTTGTTGTGCATTTTTTCAAGCGAAACCAAAAGGTTGTTGTTCATCAATGAAACAAAAGCCCCCGTTGACTCGCGATGGGAAGCCAGGGCGGACAAACTTAACCTACAGTCTGTCGCTTCTGCTTCTTCTTCACACGGCTCCTGTTCGGCAGCGGCGGGGGCGGTTAACGGCTGCTGCCTTCAAGTGCTCCTTTAAGCTCAGAGCTGTCCGTGCCAATAATGTAGGCTAATCACGATGTCCGCCAATAAAGTGCCAGTGTTAGTCGTGCATATGGGAGAGGTAAATACACCCACTGGTGTTAGAATATATTAGAAAGCACAGTGTAGCGAGACTTGTGGATTAAAGCTGGTAATCGGGCTACAAAGATCATTCAACTAGGGTCAAACGGGATAGCTAAGAGAGGGGCGAGGTAGTGTAATTTCTACGCCGCCAGACGACCACACAACAGTAGACTTTCACCTGCAGTTGGTGACACTCTTCCTACATAATATCCCAACAGGCCTACGCACACACGGTCGTGCCTGCTCACCGAGTGCCAATATTTCTAACAGTTTTTGAAGGCAGCACTCAACCAGTGAAATGTTCCAATCACTAAAGATTGCAGCCGAAATATCCAAAGTGGAAATGTTATAGTCTTCATTTTATTCTTGAACCGCATTACTTAGATAAATATGAGGGGAAATGGTGAAACACACTACTGAGAAGAAAACTGCCTGGTTCTGGAAAGGGATCATTTTGGCAGCTCTATACATTTTAAAGCGCAATCTGATGGGGTAAAACCATTAACATCATATACAACACTTGGCTTCTGGTTGAAGAAAAGATTAATTGATTTGTGAAATTTAACAGCCATTACTGCATTCTTCCAGATAGGCAGGAAAACCTGTTCTGTGTAAATGAATAAATAAATTCAAAAGTCTAATTTCTATTAGATTTTCGATATATACATATAATATGCTGCTTTAAAATGCGACTTGTAAATGTCAGTGATGGTTAGAATTTATAGGCTATTTTAGGTTTTGAGGGCTACAAGTTGTGTGGCAGATTCAATTTGCACTCTGTCAATCTGAGATTATTTGAAGACTTGGGGAGAGAGGGAGAACTAAAGAAGATTGTCTATGAAGATGTTTTCCCCCTCAAAGCCACACTGAAGATTTTGGAAACTAATTTGCTGAAAATGTGTACAACTGGTATATGACACGTTATCGTGGTTTTCTAGACGTAATATTGCCCTCTGCTGGCTGTAGCCTACTTGTGTCAGTCAGCTACCCGTGAGGTCAAATATTGTCAACAAGTAACAAAAACCTTCCAGGCAGTGGTGGAAGAAGTACTCAGATCTTTTGCTTAAATAAAAGTAGCAATCCATGAATTAAAATGTTTCGGTAAAAGTACAAATATGCTCATTGTGCATACTTTAATGTTGCAGCTGGATATAATTTTATTTGGTTGCGTCCTGTCTTAGCTCCTATCTTTTGTTGATTATGTTTGCATTATTTATTAGAATCTGAATCTGAAAGTTACTGAATACATGTAGTGGAGTAAACTGTCCAATATTTGCCTCTGAATTGTCATAAAGTAGCAGGAAATGGAAATACTTAAGTACAATACTTGAGTAAATGTACTTATACTGGTCTGGGGTTATTTCAGTGGTGAAGTAAATAAAAATGTCCTAAATACAAATAGAACCATCATACTGTCTGCTATTACAAGATAAACGTACTTTACAACTGATTCACAGCTGCTTATATTGAGATTTTCTTTTTCAGCAAAACAAATGATACACTCACAGAATACATTGCTGTGTTTTAAACCACCTGGCAGCTGAGATCTAATCAGACCATGCACCACAACGTGCAATTTCATTCATTTGTCACATTTTGCACTTCGTTTTCTACTTAAGTGTTCACATTCATACATACTTATTTCATATTTAACATTTTAAATGGACTTTAGCAATGGTATTAATTTATTTATTACATCTGGTAAAGGATTCAAATATCAGGGGATCAAATACGTATTTTTTTAAAGTTAACTTTAGCTTCTGAATTTTGTATATGGTAAATGGTAAAGATGTCAACAACCATCACTCTATTCTGTAACACCATAATAATAATTTAAATGTATTTACTGTTAATGCCACTCTGCTCCTGTTCACACTGATCCACACTATATCATATGAATCTCAAAAAAGTGCAGAATATGTCCATATTTGTTACAAAACCCCTAAGTCTTGAAGAAATTCTGGATTCCTTATGAATTGCAAAGGTGCCCATAAATAGCAGAATAAACCTCAAGTACAGGGGAGACAACATTTATTTTAGAGGAAGGAATAAGCTGGGATTGGCAGCGGGACCTTGACTAATACAGAATATAAATCTTAATAGCTTTTTATGATATACAGCAACACCTAATGGAGTGTCTGGCCTTCTGGCCATAAAATTAAATGTCACTGTCGCATCGTCGACCCTCATTATCATACAAGAGACTGAACATTGACGTCACACTTCTAATAAATATACAAATTACATACAGAGGTGCAAAATATGACTTTGTAAATAGCTGTCTCCACCTGCCTCCCAGTCTCCCAGCTGATCGGAAAGCTTCTCTGACTCTGTCCATCTACGCTGGACAAACTAATAAAGCTGAGCTTTATTGCATGACTAAGAATAAGTGAAAGCACAAATATAACATCTTACCAGAACAGGGCCTCTAAATAATGTGCATGAATCAATCTGATTCAGTGACCCATGGAAAATTCTCCTCCATCATAAATTGACTTAAAATGTCAAATGGCTTATAGACTACAAGGCCTTGAACATTTTAGCCTTTCCACTGAAGCTCTGTGCAAGTAATTATGCAGTTTTATTAGTACTTCTCACTGCTTTGTATGCAGCTCCAATTGTGGAGTTTTTCTGTGGGCTCTGAGTCAAGAGGATTCAAATGGCCCAAGAGTTTAATGAACTGGTAGCATAAAAACAGTCATTTGGCTGCCCAGTGTGTCCACCTGCTCCCCTATGGGATGTTGTTGAGACTGACATCTGAAACACCTGCTTCGATCCCATTTACACAGCCGGTAAAACAGTCAATCAAGCTGAATAGCTGGTAAAACATGACTGTGCCCTTGAAGCATGGACCACGGCACTTGTCTTTTTATTGAGCCTATAATTCACCTGTGACTGCCTGTTGATTTATCACAGTTAGAAGGGATGGGACTGTGGATATTGCTGTTGTGGCCAGCGAAAGTGTGTGTGTGTGTGTGTGTGTGTGTGTGTGTGTGTGTGTGTGAGCTGTGTGGCATGCAGAAGGGGGGGCTAGGCTATAGCTGGAGGTATATAACCCAGTTGGGACCAATAGAGCATGTACAAGTCTTCTTTCCACCTGAGGAGCTCCTGTGTGAATCAGAGCCACTTCCAAGAACAGCATCCTTTAGTGATGAAGTGTAACCATCTCCTGTCGTGGGCCTTCCTGCTCGTGGCCTCTGGCCCTGCACTGCTGGCCCACCCCATCACAGAATCTGCTGAGATGCCCTATCCAGGACCTGGTGAGTGGAAAGTAATATCTTCATTATAGCTGTTATTCATAGTAATTCATAAATTCAGTACCTTGATTAGCATTTTACTCATAAAACTTAATTTGTGAAGATTAATGTCAGGCAAGGCCTTGAAGTAATTGTCGCAGTGTTGAACACTGATTGTTCTGCCAAAGTTCACACATCATGGACCATTAATGCAGGATTTTTCTGCTGCCAGAGAATATATTATTATATATTATAATATATTTAGTGCTGTATATAAGTTTTCTGTTCAACTAAATTCTAAGTTCTTATAAATTGCTTTAGAATACGTCATGACAAAAGTGTTTATAATAAACTACACAGATAATGCATATAAATATAATGTCTATAAAATGTACACTATGTGAATCTATACCTCACAACTGTCTGTTTCCAACTCTGTGTGGCTGTTTGATTATTGTCAGTATCAGCGGAGGACCGAGGAGTTGGAGGTCTGGATGATCTGTCTCTCTCTGAGCAAACCTTCCCTCTTCAGGATGGTGCTGGTCTTAGATATTCCACTCTGATATCTGGGGAGATCAACAGAGATGGTAAGACACACACACATTCTCTTTTGCAGTAACATTGTGCTACAAATTTGAATTCATACACATGATTATAACAGTATAATCATAGTTTTCTATTGTTGGCTACCAACCTGCACCATTGTAGAAGCAGCCAGTTGGAGGTATTGATCAAGACCTGGTAGTTTGTAGTTGTTAAAACGAGGTGTGAGTGATACCCCTTCATTTTTCCAATTTACTTCTCTAACTGTTACTCTACCTCTGCTCAAAAGCCTGACATGCACAGAAGCATGGCTAATGCAACAAGCTGACATGAGTTAGTCAAATATCAGAATAACCACTTTATTTTCTCTCAGGTGTCAGAACAACAGGTCTGCTTCCTAGGGGCATGAAAAGAGAGGTGGGTTTTCTTGAAATGTTATCCACAAAACAGCAAAGAAAAGTAAGCTACATACTGTAAGTAAGAGGTTTATCACTGTTACTTTATCCTGTCTTCCAGGTCCTACTGGAGAAACAAAGTCTCCTTAATCCTTTCAGCCGTGTGCTGGGCATCCGGAAGCAGTTCAGGAAGAGAGCAGGGAATTCTGAATGTTTCTGGAAGTACTGTGTCTAAAACTGTCAACAGGCATTGATGTTACACACAAGAGACAGGGCTTGCACTAAAACAAAAATCCCTTTCTTGCACTCACGTAAGTCCATGCAGACAAAATAAGAAACATCATTCATGCATATACTGTATGTGCGCATATGCATGCTCAGGTGCATGTACTCACATACACACTCACATACATAAGTGCTGTCAGTATTTGTTCAGAAAAAGAACAATGCCATAGGTATGATTGAGATGTGTTGCTTGGGGACTTTAATATTACTTCTAAGATACTTTTCTGTTGTGTGAAACTATATTTATGAACACATATTTGTTAAAAGTCCTTGGTTGTCTGATGTATGACCAAATGTCTTTTAAATGTGAAAGTAAAAGGTTATATATGTTGAATAGAAATAAAAACTACATTACAAATACTGTCTCTGCTAAATGTCTCTTCTTGATAAAAATGTGTTAGTGAGAAACATTCTGGCAGTAGAAGAGACCACTATCTCTTCTTTAAAAGTAAAAGAGGAAACAAAAAGACGTAGCAAACTTTGTTCTCGAGTTTTCTTCATTTTTTCCTTTTTTTATTATTTTACAGCAGAAAGAATATAAAGCATTCAGAAAACATCTTCCATATTTTAAGGGCAATTCAAAACGTTTTGCATGGCTTCAGCAGCTGAAATCTCTTTTTTTTAACATATCCATCGAGTCAGTGACGCTTGTACATGCACAATTACAAAAATAAAACTTACAAACAAGAGAAGGGAAGAAAAAGGAGGAAAGCAAAACACATTAGGAGAACCAAGAGGAGATGAAACTTTTAAGGGTAGAGGTTGGGAGCGGAGAAAAATTGGGTCACATAACAGGGAAAGACAGAGAGAAAGACAGCTATAGAGGAGAGGAAAATAGATCTAACACTAGTTCACATGCAAAGTGTCGAGGACCCATAACTTTCTATCAAAGCAGGGCCTTTTTTTTTCTTCTCGGTTTGGAATTGATGAAAACGTGCAGTTCGGTAAAGGGTGCCATATAATTGCTGTCCATAAACTACTGAATGCTTGTCTTGCAATACTGGCATTTGCATAAGAGTAAGTCGACTACATGTGTCCAATCATTTTAAACTTCACTAGGTCTATAGGTCTCCACAAAATAGTTCTTTATTGCTCTGTGTCCACAAGTGGAATATGTTGTAAAACTGTTTCTGTTCTGTTGTCCTGATGTGCCTACCTTTCTCCGGTTTGGGTGCTTGGGAAAAAGAAGAGGAGGAAAGGCAGATTCCCAGGTCAATTCACAGAACGTCTTGAAATTGATAATACTGTATACTAATGAGGAGTGCCTATCAGCTAACCTGTCATCCCATTCATAAATGGCAGTAAAAACAAGATTTGCAGGTGAACTTTCCATATAACTACACTCTTAATCTTAAACACCCTCTACACTTTGTCACTTAGATAAATTAAAGGCCTAAAGAACTGGCCAGAATTATACTATGATTTGACAGGCTTCTATGACAGAAAGTCAAATCATTTATCTTAATGCGCTATATATAACAGGACTTTATTCCAGGGCTCCACTGGTGTCTGTAATTTTCAACATTGCTGAGAGGAAATGGATTTTATTTCATATTCATTCATTTTAAAGACATCAGCGGTGAACCCGTCTGTCCCATATTCTTTACCAGAAAGCACTGCTGAAAGGTTTCCCTATTTCAATTTCAGCTTCATCTGCTGTGAATCACGTGTCCTGCTCTGTTTCCTCCTCCCCATTTTGGCACCCTGAGTAAAATACATAAGGGAGGTGAACCAGTCCCTCAGCCTGTAGAAGAGCAATGCTGCCTTCACCGCTCAGTGTACAAATGAAACTGACACCTTGACATGTCTGCATGTGTGCTGTGCTGTGTCTTGTGCATGTGTTTGTGTGTACCGTGTGTCACTTAGTTAATACTTGCTATACATACTGTCACAATGGTCTCCAACCATGTCCATTTGTCCTATTTGAAGTTGGGAGCACACTGATCAAATCTAAATGAATAAAAAAACTAAAGAAAAGGTCTAAAAAGTTAGAGCTTGGTCTAAAAAAACAATCTTGTCGTCATGCTTTGCCATGAAAACGTCAGTAGCTACTGAGCATTGATCACTGGCTCATTTGTAGGTTTCTCGTCTGCCCACCGGTCACATGCCCTCTGTCTTTCTGAGTTCTGTGACACGTCAAACCAACGTTCATCGTTTTACAGAACAGTAAGTCTTTTAACAAGTCTATCTGACTACCGATTCTAGGAAAATAAGCATGCTTTAGGTGCAGTTCTGTCACCCAGTTAACTATTTTACCCATGCAAGCATAATAAATCCTTCTCCTTTTTGCCACGACATTGCATTGGCTATGCATTCTAACCACAGACTCGAGGATGAATGCAAGGCAACAAACCCCAGTAGTGGCATTTCTAAATGTGATTTTAACAAGCTGTCCCCATAGAAAAAAGAAAACAAGGCAGAAAATTAAAAATATAGCTTAGCATGTTGACAAGCTGGAGTGCTGTAATGATAGTGGTGTGAACAGGGAATATCATATTGTGGCTTTGGTGAGTGTAAGCTGACGGTGATCATGTGTGTTCATGTAAAGGATACAGCACTGTTTGTGGGTGACCATGTTGTCTCACACTGTTTTTAAACCTCAGGTACATTGTATGCATTTTGACACTGGATTTGTGAGATCAGGATATGAATAGGCACTTTCTACATAAACACTCGGGAAATAAAGTTTACATATCAGGCGTGTGGAAAACAAAACAACCAGTCAGTCAAGGAAATAAATCTGAGAAATACCTATTTAGCCTAATAACCATTTGACAAACATGACAACACTTCAATAAACAAAACTCAAGTTTTTCAGTGGCACTTGGCTGAATAATCAAATGTCATTACTTGGATACAGAATACATTTTCTGGTAGGAATATATTATAGGAACTAGGCAGCAACCAACAGGCACCTCTAAACCAGCAGCTTATGTGTATTCACTCTCAGATTGTTCCTACAGCCCAATCAAAACTGCTATATATATATATATATATATATTATCCAATGTACAAGACACATCTTATGCCTCATAATTATAAATGGCACCAGTGCACTGTTTTACACATTATTTACTACAGTCATTTTGGCTCATTGACCCTCCCAGTGACAACTTTTAGTGCTGTCCCTCTGTGTAGAATCATTTTTAGCACCTTTGACAGTTGGAACTGTTCATTTTGCAAATGTTTTCAGCTGCTTGATAAAGTAATCCAGTCATGTACGGTATGCTACACAGGTTTTTCAACTAGACATCCTGGAATACAAGATCTATTTAGACTCCGGCAGCCTTGATCAAGGGTTTTTATGGTTTTATGTATTGAAACCAATTGTATTAGGAAAATCCTGTCACCAGTTTACCAGAGTGATCAGCCAAGAATTGATAAATCAATGCTTGCTGCAACATACTGCACATTTACAGTAAGAGGTGAATTCAATCTTTGGATCGCTTTTCGGGGACACCATGGGCAAGGCTGCCAATCTTTAAGATCAGACAGGATACCTCAGTAACATATCACATTCCATTTGCAATGACAACAAAAATGAAAACTCAAACTGTATTCAGTGATGGTCAAATGCTTCAGTTATCTGTGGAAATGGTGGAGACATGAGAGACTTAAATGCTTTCTGCTTAAATATGACTCCCCCTGCAAACTGTGTACCTTACTGTTCTAGTGATCCTCGTCAGTTGTGATCTTATGGTCTTCAGTGCTTGTGTGTATTTCACTGTATGATTATCTGTTCTGCAAAAATTAACTTAATTCTCTTCTTAAGCTATAGCATTCACATACCTTGGCACCATTGGCAAAAAATTCTTGGTAGCCCAAAACAAACAAATAAAACAAAAAAGTAAACATAACCATACTTGTTTTAAGATAATTTTGCAGACTTCTCCTAACTCTAAATACAGTATTTTTTTTTTTACTTTTTTATATTGCAATAGTATCATGCTTTAGCAAAATGTTCTTCTCAAGAACAATCAAAATAAAATAAAATACTCTAATAGTGAAATAGTTTTAATTTTACAGAGCATAGCCACTACTGCTTTTGTTGTTTTTTTCCCTTTTGACTCTGTTCATACTTTTCATGCACATAGCTCATTTTTATCCCAGGTATTTACACTATTTACAAACAATACAACCATACTTCTTCGGCATTCAAACAAAACTATACAAATATTCTGTTTTTGTCTCGTACCTGTTTTTGACCCATTTTTAATGAATAAAATAATATATTTCTAAAATACAATCCCCTTTGGGTAAATGTTTTTTCCTACGTACTTTCAGCCTTCTTTATATACAGAAATCGCTCAATTGTCAAAAATATGGATTTGTCAAACCCCTATTTTGGGACAAGCTTAGGGACCCCTCAAAGAATCTCTAAGACGTCAAGGCAATGTATGTGATCTTCCCCTCAAAAGCCTTCACAGGCTCTGAAGTTCATTTAAAAAGAACAGTAATAACCTGCATGACCATAACCATTACAACACAAAATAGGCAAGTTCTTTTCTCTTGTTAGGTTTCAGAGGAGCAATCAACTGAACGAAGCAAAAGGAAACAAAATAAAAAGAAACCAGACAATACAGGGATAGCTTCATTACCGAGATGGTAGAACTTATGGGGGAGAAGATGGAAACAAAAAGAAAATCAGAGGATAGGCTGAAAGACTAGACCATAAGCACACAAGCAAAGACTTTTCTTGCCAAGATGTCATGCATTTTTTCTTGGTAGGATTCAACAACATAGAGTCTGAAGATACAGATCACCAATACATTGGACATGATGGAACAAATACATTGGACAGTATGGAACAAATTCAAGTAATAAAGTGACAATATATACGATAAAGCATAGGTTTTTTTTAAGAAATGGCAAAACAAATATTTTATCCTCCATTTGCTTCTGCATGGTTAAACCCCTGACTACATTCATTTGTAGCTCCACCCATGTGGGCAGACTGGTGGGGTAGAGCACAGTGGGACAGGAGGAATTGTTGAGCTAAATTGAATATTATATCATCTACAGCAGTGGATAGAAGTGGGCATGTGGGTTACCAATATGTTTGGTAAAAAAAGAAAATCCGTCTTCAAATGAATTGATTGGTCACTTAAAAAATTATGAAATACAATTAGAGCCCAGAGTGTTTCTGCATGGTCTCCCTATCCTCTGAGATCTTCTGCAGCAGCCTTAGTTTACGTCTCTTCAGGTCCTCACAGGTGACAGACCTCCTCAGACATGTGTTCGCTTCCTTCACCGTCCAAAAACCTCTTCATATCCATAAAAGACAAAGCAATCCATGAAAAAGTGCAAAAAATGCCATGAAGCAAATGTTCTGCACCCCCCACCCCGACCCTTTTAGTTTA